AAAAGTTCCGATTTCTTTCTACGTAAACCAACGGTTACCAGTTACTTTACATTACAATGTTCTTTTATTTATATAATTTATTTTTGAACAAGAAAAAAGCTGATGCTTCGTAGTGTTCCGAAATCAAGGTTATCCTAAATCCTGAAGATGCTGGGAGCCAACCAGGTAACCACCGAAAGAAATCACATTATTAGAAAGTAAGTAACTGGGTTCGAAGTCGACTCCTACGATTCCTAGTTTTCAATAATCGGGAACCTAGCCGCCCAGCACTATCACAGGGTGAGCAACGAGTCTGGTTCATGCAAGACCTTACCGCATCATCTACATTTTTACTTTTCTCTTTTCCTGACACGATTTGAATGTTCGCTGGGTCGACTTTCCTAGCTCCCTCTCTCTCATCTCCCGTAAGCCAATGAGTTCCGCCTGTTTGTGTTGTTTTTGTTGTTTTTGCTGTTTTTGTTGTTTTTCGTTGTTGTTTTTTTTTTTTTTTTGTCGCTCAGCTTGACAATAATATTATTATCTTGGGATACGTATGAGGTTGTGACGTCTTCCAGAAAATATGAGGGTGCGTGACCTCATTATCTATTCCTTACAAAATGTTTTTTGAGGGAAGGGGGGGATTAGTTTACGGGATGAGGCACATCCACACACACACACACACACACACACACACACACACACACACACACACACACATACACACACACACACAAACAAACACACACCAAAAAAACACACACACATACACATACATAATATATATATACACACACAAGCGCACGCACACGCGTACACACACACGCGCACGCACACACACATACATACACACACACAAACGCACGCACGAACACGCATACACACTCTCACACATATTGAGAGAGTGACTAAAACTGAGAGAGGCGTGGGAGGGGGAGAGAAACAGACAGACAGACAGACAGACAGACAGACAGACAGACAGACAGACAGACAGACAGACAGACAGACAGACAGACAGACAGACAGAGGGAGAAAAAATAAGACTGGTAGACAGGCAGATAGACACACATAAAGATAAAGAGGGAGAAAGTAAGAGAGAGACAGAGAGAGAGACAGAGACAGAGACAGAGACAGAGAGACAGAGACAGAGACACAGAGGGAGAGAGACAGAGACAGAGACAGAGACAGTGACAGAGACAGAGAGACAGAGACAGAGAGAGAGAGAGAAAGAGAGAGAGAGAGAGAGAG